GATATATAGTAAAGAATTGAGCAATAGTAAGAGAAATTTTGAAAAAACAAGTTTGATGGTTAATTTATATTCTAGAGTGGCATTTAATACATTCAATAGTTGTTTTATATTTTTGTAATTATAATAACTCAATACCCGAAAGGCTTACGCTTCAACGCTTTGAGGCTTACGCCTCGTCTCATAAGGCACAAAATGCCTCACCCTAATGCATCGCTTTTCAAAACATTGACCCATACCCTACAGAGTGGTATTTGGCCTAAATTGCTATCATCTCTCTTTCCCTTGGTCCTCACATCATCGACAAATCTGTGAGCTCGATCTTGCTGTCAATAATAGCAAGTCTGATTTTATTCTGGTTTCATGAGTTTGAATACCCAAAGCCCTGTCGTCCCCATTAATAACCAAAGACAGAACCTTTCTCCCACCTCCTTTCTCCTTTGCCTTCTAATCTTTTGCTGAGCTTAGATACCCCAAAGCTCATTCCTTTCCTTGAGTAATCAAAGGCAGAATCTTTTCCAACTTCATCTCTTGTGCCTTTCAAAGCTTCACATTAGATAAGGGGCCTGTGCAATTGTCCGCCATGGAAGATGACGCAACACAACTCGTTATACAGCTTGAAGACAATCTTGGGTTGCGCGAGGTACGTAACGGAATCCCTCTCATTGGAGTCCTTATGGCTAACAAACTCCCTAACCAAGGTGCAATCAAGGGGATTTTGAGGAAATCTTGGTAGCAGATGGGCGAGGTTAAAATCTCGGTAGTGAAGGACAACCTGCTAGCTATAACAGTAGAATTGGAGGAGATGGCTAGGAGGATAATAGAGGGAGGCCTTTGGGCTGTTATGGGGTACGCACTCAGCACTCACCATTGGGAGGAAAGGATGGCCATTGTGGAAGTTAATAGGCACTCTATCACCTAATGGGTTCAAGTTTCAAAGATCCCACTGGAAAAGATGAATGAAACAAACGCTAGGAAAATTGGTGCCACTCTTATCAGAGTGGTGGAAGTGGATGACCCAAACCAAAGGGTATTGCGGATTTCTGAGGCTCAAAGTTGAACTGGATGCTAGGAGACCTTTGGTGGAGGGCTTCTGGATACCACGACGGAACAAAATGGAGTTATGGGCTGAAATTAGGTATGAGCACCTTGCAGATTATTGTTATCATTATGGCAGGCTGGGGCATTCCTCAAATTTGTGCAGATTCCCTCATGGGGGATTCGATATTTTCACCATGAATCTACGGGCTAAAGCTTTTAGCCCAAGCTTTTGGAGAGGGGCTGGGGGGAATACTGGTCGGAATTACCAGTCGATTCTGAGCATGCTGGCTCGTGGGAACCAAGCAAGTGAGATAGAGAGGGAACAGGATGGACAGGGTGAAATTCCCTAGAATGGCCAACTGATATGTTTCTTAATACTCAAACACCACAGCAGGATTGAAATACTGTAACAATCCTGTAAGCAAAAATTCCAGAATACACAGCAGAATAAATTCAAATAAAAATGCAAACAATTTCACAAGGGACACATGATATGTTGACACAGTAAAAAACCTCAAGATGAGGAAAACAACTGCGGGCACTATGTCGAAGAACAAATCACTATGAGAAAGAATACAAAAAGGTCTTACAAGTCTCGACCATAGTATAAAATATCGATAATATCGACGAAATATCGAGGTTATTATCGTTTTTTTAGATCACGGATATTTCGGAACATATCCATGAACATATCATATAAATATCGATAATTTCGGAAAATATCGATGTCGATAATATCGGAAGATATCGATGTCGATAATTTCGGTCACACTTCAGCAATATTTTGTCAAAATATCGGTATAATATTGTTATAATATCGAAAATATCGATGTAATGGAAAAAAGGAAAAAAAAAGAAAGAAAAAAGAAGCACAAAAGGGATTCAAACCTTGCCATTTCACTCCTTCAATGCCTTAACCACCATGTTGCTTATGTTTCTATGATAATATGCTAAAATATGTATATTTATATTGTTTTGTTTTGAACAATTACATGCAAAACTATTTTTGTAATTTATCATTTGATGACTGCTTTTCAGAATACACTACTACAAAAAGTGAAAAAGACGACCAAAAAAAGATGACGGTAGAAGAAAAAACCGTCATTGTATTTAAAAAGACGACGGTAACAAAAAACCGTCGTGGATAAGTGACTTAAACAACTAAAAAACGGAGGTACTGTTGAATATTTTTTTATAACGACGCACACAAATAAAAAGCATCGTCTTATTAAAAAAGTTTTCTTCAGAGTTAAAATCTGACTAAAAAACAACTACAGCATGTATGACAAGCGTCGTCTTTTAAAAATCAAGTGTCCTTTTTTTGGTAAAGACATGGTTGTTTTGAAAGAACTGTCGTTTATTATATGTAAAGATGACGGTTTTTTTTTATTTAAAAATGGTCGTCTATTATGAAGTAAAGATGATGGTTTTTTTTTAAAATGGTCATCTATTATATGTAAAGATGATGGTTTGTTTAAAAAAGGGTCGTCTATTTTATGTAAAGATGATGATTTGTTTAAAAAAATGTCGTCTATTATGAAGTAAAGATGACGGTTTTTTTTACAAATAGGCTGTCTATTATATGTAAATATGACGATTTTTATACAAACCGTCGTCTATTATATGTAAAGATGATGCTTTTTATAAAACCGTCGTCTACTATATGTAAAGATGAAGCTTTTTATATAAAAAAAACCGTCGTCTATTATATGTAAAGATGACGATTTTTATACAAACCGTCGTTTATTATGTAAAGATGACGCTTTTTATCAAACCGTGTTCTATTATTTGTAAAGATGACGCTTTTTATAATTAAAAAACCGTCGTCTATTATATGTAAAGATGACGATTTTTATACAAACCGTCGTCTATTATATGTAAAGATGACGCTTTTTATAAAAACCGTCGTCTATTATATGTAAAGACGATTTTTATACAAATCGTCGTATATTATATGTAAAGATGACGCTTTTATAAAAACCATCTTCTGTTATGAAGTAAAGATGACGGTTTTTTTTTTTTAAATGGTCGTCTATTATATATAAAGATGACGCTTTTTATAAAAAAGGGTCGTCTATTATATGTAAAAATGACACTTTTTATAAAATAAGGGTCGTCTATTATATGTAAAGATGATGGTTTGTTAAAATAACCGTTAAATCATGATTTTTCATTTATAAACGTCGAAATTTTTTGTCCCGTTACTTAATCTCTGAATGTTTATTTTTTTTCGATTTTTGGTTTATATGATCTCGAAGTATAAACAAACAAGTTTGACGGTTGAATCGTTGAAACTAGTTTCTTAGAATGTGTATGCCATCAAAACAATATATTCACTAACAATTAAGAGTTTATTTATACTTTCGTTAAATATAACATAAGATTTTGTGATATCCACTAGTGTAAATATTTTAAATTGAAGATCAAATTCAGTCATTGTATTCATATAGGGTCAAGGAGTGTAGCGGTAAAAAATCATCAAAATCGGAGTTAAAATAACCGTTAAATCTTGATTTTTCATTTATAACCGTCGAAATTTTTTGTGTAGTTTTGGGTAACATATAGGAATCTGCAACTGACACTTCGAAATAATTATCATGCATACTTCTCTTTAATTTAAAAAATGAGACAGAAGAGTTGAATCGTTACTCATTGAAAAATTGTTTTTTCTCAAAATTTGACTAAGTATGAAAAATAGACTTTTGAAATACTAATGTTTGCAATGATATTTTTGGCGGTTTATATTTCTTACAACTTAAATAATCAAACACAATTTTATGAGATTTTAGTATAAAGTATACATTGACTTATTGAGGTATCAATATTGGTATAAACTGTAACTTATACTAAAACTGAATTTTCATATTTTGATTTGTTGGGAATTTGATTTTCTAGTATTTTTAATTGAATCCAAATGGGGGTACTTCCTTACTTACATTGTAAACTTAAGTAGTTGGAGTAATATATAAATAAATTAAAGTAAAAAGACAGGACATTTATATATATACAATTATTCTCTTATCTAGATGTCCGCAAGTTATTATCGTGCGGATGCTATTGTAAACAAACATGAAAGCAGGGAAAGGTAGTACAAAATACATGGCGTTCGCACGATAATAACGTCCGGATGTCCGCATAGGAGAATTTCTGTTATATATATATTTATTATATTTATTTATATGCATATATAATATAACAGCTATATACCTTTCATCAAAATTTGTGGTTCCTGCAGAGTTAAGTATGATTTCAATGTCAGTGCACATTTCTTCTCTCAACCTGAACTCTTTCACTCCTAGGTCATCAAAAGTTACGTCTCCTGGCACAGCCACAACTTTTTTTGCTATGAAAGAATCAAACTCTGCACCCCATTTCTCTCTAAGAACCCGGAACAACTCCTTCCCTATTATCTTAATATAAATAAAAATAAGTAAACATTAATAAAATGTACGTCATTAGAAGATACATTAAAATTATTTGGCTATATTATGAAATACATATTTATATATAAACCTGATTTTGCATACGATCTGTGGCTGACTTGGTGTCCGAAGCTCTTAAAAGAAGATAAAGCTTTTTCACATCTGGTTGAACCCTCAGTATTTTCTCCACAAATACTGCATGTGCATTTGTAAATTAAGTTACTATAAGAGAGAGAGAGAGAGAGAGAGAGAGAGAATTAATGTACCCATTCCAAGGAAGCCAGTGGCTCCGGTTACTAAGATGGTCTTGTTCTGCAAATATCCTAGTATGCTCTTCAACTCCATTGTAAAAATCTGAAGGATAGGTTGAGTAATCTCAGAGTGCATATATATAGAAAGAGTCTTGCCTACTTATAAAGGTTGTACTTTAACTTTTCCTTTTTTGTTTTCTTTTTTTCTTGAGAATAACTTTAACCTACATGCATGAGCCATGTCGTTGGGTTTCTGTTTGTTGTTCACCGTCCCAATAATTCATAATTATTAGTAGATTCTTGCAGTTGAGCTAGCAGTAAGGTATGCCTTAAACATAAGAGAAAATGAGGGAAGCATACATGAATTCATCCAACATATCTTCTGAGATGCACTACTGCTAAGAACACATTGAATACTGTTAATGTATGGTTTTTAATATTTTCTTTTGGCTTCCCTTGACATCTTTGTAATAGGATGTGTAATGTAATTTATCAAGCTCAAGTCTAGATTAGGGAAAATTTTTATTGGTGCTCTTCTCTAATCTCTGCTCTATGGTGGCTCAAGCAAGTTGACAAAGGTATTGAGCATTGCATATCATTACATAAAACAGTCTTCATAAAAAGATGACTAGTCAACCGTTTCTCATATGACTAGTCATCCTTGCCTCCAGCTGGATAACAAACTGTTTTGTCCTATTCTTCTTTCTCTCTCTCTGCTGCCAAGTGGGTTTTCTGACCTAACGATTTTGTTGGTCTGTATAGCCCACGATATTTCTCATTTGGAGTTGTCTCTTTTCGGGTGGAAGTTTTGGAAAGTTTGGCTTGCCATCTTTCGCTTCTTCTTCCACGAGAGAACCATTATTTCATCTATGAGTTTTTCCAATTGATTTCTTTCTGAAAAACTGCATTTGAAACACGAATCTGCATCTAGCTATTTAAATCATTCTATCATTTATATCTAGGTCGGATTCAAGATTGATTTCTTCAAGAGTATGGTTTCTTGAAGAAATTGGTCTTTTTCCTTTGAATCCAAATTGGTTTCGGTTTGTGTTGGAGCTTGCAAGCTAGTGCCATGGAATGAACGAGCTGGAGAAGGAGCTGCCATTGCCATGAAGGGCTGAGCTTCAAGCTTTGCTAAGTTGGAGAAGAAGATTGCACAAAGGAGGTATTGCTCATATTCCTAAATAGACCTAGGTGCTTCTTGAGCTTGGTTGTGTTTCCTTTGTAAGAATCTTTTTCTACTTAGTGGAATGCCTGGTCGGTTGATGACTCCCAGTTTTTCCCAATGGTGGGTTTCTGGGTGAACAAAATCTGTTTTGCATATCTGTAATTTTTCTGGGTTTGTGTTCTTGGGGGTTGACTAGTCATCTGTATCTGCTGTTTGATGTTTACATGATAATGATGATTTCACACACTTTCACCATAGTTGTTGCTAGCACAGGGGATGCCTAGATTGACGGGTCCTTCTGAGTGCCTAGGTTGTCATTAGTAATCTTCTAGGATTGCAGGTACATTGTGGCATGCTCTGTGTATTCTATTGGTTGTGATTGTTTCTTGACTAGTAGTTGACTAGTCATATGTGTATTTGGTCAAGGTTTAAAGTGTGTGAAGCTTGCTGTGTTGTTGTGTCTTGTTTGTGTGATTAAGTTTACCCCTCATCACCTAAGTACCATTTTCAAATACGTACACAGTGGGGGTAGATAGTAGATGGAGCAGACTGATGTAGACCTAAGGTTTCTCTTCACATGGGTGGGAGATGGGCATTAACAATGGGCAAAAAGTAATTTTTCTTCCTCTAGTTTGTTGTATTTTTCACTTCCGACTATGTTGTTTTAATTTTGGCAATTTGACCCATGTAGTTTGATGTTCTCACAAATCAAGGATATGTCCAAATTTTCATTCAATTATGTGATTAGGTAAGTACATGTCACTGACGTGGAGGTGTATATTTTGGATGGCATTGGAAAGAATTTGATAGAATTTACAAAGTATCCTTAAATTGCTAGGAATTCAAAACTACATAAAATTAACAAAATTGAAACTACAGAGACCAAACTGATAAACGGACAAACTATAGGAACAAATAATGACGTTTTGCTTTATATTAACCACAAAGAAGTCTCACCAAAGATAGCAGAATTTTTTTTTGTTTTTAAACGTAGTTGAAATATTAAAATAACATTTTGATAGAGGTAAGCTAATTTCGATAGAGGAAGCTTCAACGTGCTAGTTATGGAGGTGGTTGATTGGCTTTCATTTTGGGAGCGGCTGGTGTAGAGTGGACCAGTGTCTACTTCGTAAGCTAACCTAGTGTATCGTAAAAGGAAAATACTTCATGTAAAAATTATTATTCTTTAAAGACAAATCACGACATGTATCCTTAAATTTTTATTTTTGTAATTTTAATGTATTTCTCTTAATAAACAAATAATAATTTGACATATATGCATAAATTTTTCTTTTTATAACATTAATAAATTATTTTTTCATATATGTTAAACCGTAATTTGCCGATGGAGTGAGTGAGATGTCTAGTCAAACAATGAATACTTTTTTCTTTTCTTTTTTTCAGCACAGCCGCTCATTGTCTTAAATATCACTAGTTTCAAGAAAAAATAAAAAAGAGCAACACCGCCCATGCACATGCAAGTAGTCGCCCCAGCCGTCCTTGCAACTTGATGTGGCAAACTATGAACGTCTGGGAGTGACCCACGTAGGCGGCGCATGTGTACCTAACAAAAATAACTTTAACCTACATGCATGAGCCATGTCGTTGGGTTTCTGTTTGTTGTTCACCGTTGGGACGATTCATAATTATTAGTAGATTCTTGCAGTTGAGCTAGCAGTAAGGTATGCCTTAAACATAAGAGAAAATGAGGGAAGCATACATGAATTCATCCAACGTATCTTCTGAGATGCACCACTGCTAAGAACACATTGAATGCGTACACAGTGGGTAGATAGTAGATGGAGCAACACCGCCCATGCCCATGCACATGCAACTTGATGTGGCAAACTATGAGCGTCTGGGAGTGACCCACGTAGGCGGCGTATGTGTACAGTGTACCTAACAAAAATTCAAAGACAAAAAGAGCCATTAACTGTTGAGCAACACAACTTTTTTCCCACCAAACATTACTCGGTTTCCAATTTGGACGTAGCCTGCTGACATAATCGGATACATGTCAACGTCAGCTCCTAAGGATCCACGCGTTTGCAACAAATGTTAGGTTTGAACTTCGTACAACCCTCGATTTAAGAATAATGAAGGGCTTGGAATTCGGGAATACAATTAAATTTCTTCTGCCTACTCAAACCCAACCTACTAGGAGCGGTCCTACCCTAAAAGTAGGGTAGGCAGCGGCTACTCCATTGTTTGCAAAACCAAAAATTACCCAATACCCAATACAATCAAATTTCTTCTGTCTACTCAAACCCAACTCACTCAAAATTTTCCCTTTAACAAAAACAATAGCCTAGCACACTCAAACTTTCTCTTTTAACAAAAACAATAAACAGCAATATAAGCATGTGAAAGATATTAAAGTTGTATGGATATTTTTTTTTAATTAATAAAAGGTGGTAGGAGTGTCATCTCTCAGAGTCAGGCATGGGTTAAGGGAAAGCTCTCCCCAAAGAGGTTCGTTACACATGCAGAGGATCGAACCCAAGACCTCATTGAGGAGCCCGATTACATTCGCCCAACATGTGTGGCCTGGCCCGTTTAATTTTCCACTAGACCAAACCCACTTAGGTATGGAGGATTTTTTTTAACATTGACTAACATTGTGAATTTTGTTAGTGCTTCTACTAAGCACCGTAATGAGTTAAATTTAATTCGAAAAGTTGAACTTAAAGAGTTGTTGGATTATGGGGAACTTGAGACTGGTAGAAGACTTAATCAAGGTCGTAGTTTGAAACGAGCTGGAGCCACTTGTTGGGGATCTCACTTTGCCTCTATTACAAGTTTGATGAGTTTATTTAAAAAGACTAAAATACTTATCCAGGGAATAAGTGATTATAGACCTAACCAACAATTTCGTGGTGATGCAGAGAGTTGTTATGATGTCTTTTGAATTTGAAATTGATACTTAGGTGACGAGGGGTAAATTTAAAAGATATTCAACCAAGAACGCAGCAAACTTCACACTCTAGACCTTGACCAAATACTCTTATGACTAGTCAACTGTCATATATGAATTATACCAAACAATAACATACACAGAGCATACAAAGATGTACCTGCAAGCCTAGAGAATTACTAGTGACAACCTAGGCACTCAGAAGGACCCGTCAATCTAGGCATCCTCTGTGCTAGCAACAACTATGGTGAAAGTGTGTGAAGACAGCATAATCAAGCAAACACCAAACAGCAGAAAAAGATGACTAGTCAACCGCACAAACCCAGATGACTAGTCAACTATTAAGAACACAAACCCAGAAAATTTACAGAGTTGGAAACCAGAAACTGTTCACCCAGAAACCCACCATTGGGAAAAACTGGGGGTCATCAACCGACCAGGCAATCCACTAAATAGTATATATGATGCTTCATGAATACAACCGTCCACGTCCTCTTCTCTAGTAACCATTTTTGAGTGAGAAAGAGACTAACAACATTTAGCTCAACGCCATGTAGAAACTTCAATAGGAATATTGTGTATAAGTACAATGCATGAACCTCTCCATTATCGTTTCAACATAACATGTTTTTGAAGGCCAGGTATGTGTGTGTGCATAAAGTAGTCTACCCAATCAGTGCATTTTGGATCAAAATTGAAAGTTTCCGATTCCACGAAACTCTCCCTTGCTATCCTTCGCAGATCCTCGGCATTGTTGTCATCAAAGCTGCATTTAAATCAAAGTAACTTAAATGCATGATTACACAGATAGAAGTACTTATGTTTAATTGACAGCCAAAATAATGCATACGTACATGCCCTTAAATAGCATATAGGGCTCGTATAGCTCTACCAAGCGCATCACCAATTTGAGTTTCTGATTATAGTTGACATACAGGTCTTGGAAATATTCGCCAAATGCTTTGTTTACGAACTTTAAACCCTTCAAACAAGAATTAAAAGTAATATATATGAATATACATATACATATATATGTATGTAATTTGTAATTACTGTTAATGGGGGAAATCACAAACCTCCAAAGGTAGCATGAAGCGAATTTGCATATACATGCGAAAAGTAGCCATAGTCTTGAATATTTTACCCTTGCCAACCTTGACAGGCTTTCCATCCTTGTCAATCCATGGATTTTTTGTGAAGTATCGGAAGATAAAACTGTGAATATTAAGGAAATTGATAGGATTTCTCAAAGAGCTTCCCACATGGTAAATGATACTAGACGATTTATTTGCATTTGCCACCATTGCTACAGTTATTGAATTTACCACCATATCAACAGGAACCTGCATAATTTCAAAATCGATACTTTTGATTGTAAAATTACTGTTGTGTGCTTGTACCTATGAGTATTTGGAGAACCATGAAGTTTACTTAAACTTACCATATCAAATACTGACATAGGATCCACAAGCAAACATGTCAGCTTCCCTTTACAATAAGCAGCAATTACACCATCAACGGTTCTGCAACAACAATAACAACAAAGATTGCACACCTGTTGAAATTTAGTTATAAGAACCTACCAAATAAAAATCATTGTACCATTAAATTTTTCTGAATCTGCACAAAGACCTATATTAGTGCACACAATTAGCCTTTTCTTTGCCAAAAAAATAAAAATAAAATTGTAGCCTTTTGTTTTCTTTCCCAGTAGTTCCAGTGTCTCATAATAAGCTTATAATTTTGTTAACAAACAAACTGAGTTATGCGTGTTTTCTGAGTAAAATCTAGTCAAATTTTACAGTGCTTGCGACCTTCATATCTCAAACCTTGGACCCAACCTGGAAATGGCTCTTTGTAAGTACTGGTGACTGCAGGCGGACGTATGATGACGACAGATAGATTATCTTTTGAGTGTCTTAGAAGTATTTCTCCCATCGCTTTTGTGAATACGTACGTGTTTGGCCATCCATACAATTTAGCCCTGCAAGAATATAAGAAATAATAATGAGAAAATTCTGTAAGGATATTAGTGAAAAGCCCCAAAGAAAAATAGACGAACAATTTCACACTGCAAAAAAATTATTTTGGCACTCATTTTATCTCAATTCAATGAATGAATCGGTGAGCTAGAGAACTGCAGAAATAACTTCTTCTTTATTTGCTTATTGATAAAATTTGGAGAAAAATAAGTCGGAAACTGTGAATCGTGCTTGTGGTTTTATAGGGCACAGTTGGATGGATGCTCGAAAAAACCTTTTAATGCCAAAATCCTTCATCGTGATTGTAATAACTTCTTCTGTCGCATTTTGTGCTTTTAGTTCATTCAGTTTCTCTTCCACCAAATTCTTCTCTTGCACTTTGAAATCAAATTTAGTGATCTCCTTTTCCATCTCATCCATGCAAGATGAGTCCTCTAGTATAAGTCCTTCCCTTTCACCACATACATAAGCTGAAAAACAATCAACATATCAGTGAAGGAAAATCAAAGGAAATTGAGACCAGGAAAAAACATGCTGAGATGATAAATAAAGATGAAACTTAGAAAAGAAAAAAAAACATGCTGTGGACGCGGTAATAGTACATAACTCTTCTCCTCTCCTTTTTTGACATGAAATTTGAGCATATAAAGTACAGGATATGGAAAGGCTATATATACCATATGGTAGCCTTGTAGGCCATGGGAAACCAATAGAAGAAAAACAAACACTAACCAGTTGACACGTGGAGTAGCATCTCTAGCTTTAGACATTTCTTTGCAAAGCTCAGTACGTGTTGAACTCCAAATATATTGACACTCAGTGCAATATCATATCTGCAAACCAAATATTATATACATGTAAATTCTAACTGCATTTTTTTTATATACTTATATGCATATATAATAATTACCTTTCATCAAACTTGGTGGTTCCTGCAGAATTAAGTATGATTTCAATTCCAGTGTACATTTCTTCTCTCAACTTGAGCTCTTTCACCCCTAGCTCATCAAAAGTTACGTCTCCTGGAACAGCCACAACTTTTTCTGCTATGAAAGAATCAAAATCTGTGCCCCATTTGTCTGAATTTATATACATGAAAGTCATTTCAGGATAAAATAAAATTACTTGGTCATTGTTATATACGTATTTATATATAAACCTGATCATGCATGCGATCTGTGGCTGACTTGGTATCCGAAGCTCTTAACATAAGATAAAGCCTTTTCACATCTGGTTGAACCCTTAGAATTTTCTCCACGAATACTGCATGCATTTGTAAATTAAGTTACTATGAGAGAGAGAGAGAGAGAGAGATGAAATGGTACCCATTCCAAGGAACCGAGTGGCTCCAGTTACTAAGATGGTCTTGTTTTGAAGATATCCTAGTATGCTCTCCAAATCCATTGTGTAAAGCTAGAGCCTAGAGGAAAAATGTCTAAGTTGAGTAGAGATATCAGTTCTCTTGAATTCAGAGTACTTATAAAAGGAATGTTTACCTACTTTTAGCACCAAAATAAATAAATCAGTTTCTGCGGCCGGCTTCCTCTATAATTCTAGCCCATCTTAGCATTAATTTTTAATTTTTTTTAATTTTCTTTTCCTAATTTTATGTTTATGTTTTCCTCGAAATTGACATTAAGAGCATCAACGTGTTAGAAATATGCCCTTAAAGCCAACTAATTATGTAATAGTTAGAGGTAAGGACATTTTTGATAAAAGACATATTATGTTATTAATGAGCAATAAATGTTGTTTTATATTATATCATCCTATATTATCTTTTAATATGTAAAACAACCATAGTCCAAGGAATACACAAGTGGATATGAGAGCTATGTATTGAGATTGCATACATGAAGACTTCTCATCATCCTTAAATCCTGAATATATTCCTGATCATAAGAAAAATGTTTAGGTTGAGTAGAGATATCTCTTGGATTCAAAGTACTTATAGAAGGAAAGTTTACCTACTTTTAGTACCAAAAATAAATAAATCAATTAAGTTCCGGGCTTAAGTTACCAAACAATGGAATTCTCAATTTCTCATTTTAAATTCCCGACTTTTAGCTAAATTCCGAGTTATTTTCCATCATCCAAACGGAGGAAAATGGTAAAAATGATAAACAACGTGGATCAAAAGTGACTTTTTACCTAAAAAATATGTTGGTTGTCTTAATTGTGGAAAAATTACTCTAATCAAGGAGATTTATTTGACAGTGAGTTTCCCATTGTTTTTATTAAATCTTATGAAGGAGATTGTGTACATATTGAGATCCATGAATGTGCATTATTTTGAATACATGATACTTCCAAAATAAAATTAGATATCCTTGGATGGGTACATTAATATAAGTACATTAAAATATACCTACAATAATAAAGAAATGAGTATCTGATTCATATTTGTATCAATATGAGATCTTGGCCACAATATATCCGTGGCTTATTTAGAGCTTTCTAGTAGTAAATATACCGTCAATGATACAAAATATATTGACCGATTAATGCATTTATTTATTTTCTCAAGGACAATGCATGCACCTCTCGATTATCGTTTCATCATAACATATTTCTGGAGACCAGGAATGTGAGTGTGCATAATGTAGTCTTCCCAATCAATGCATCTTGCATCAAAATTGAAAGCTTCCGCATCAACGAACCTCTCCCTTGTTATCCTTAGCAGTTCCTCAGCATTGTTGTCATCAAAGCTGCATTTAAATCAAATTAACTTCAGTGATAAAAACACATGTTTAATTAAAAATGACATATTAAAAATTAAATATAAATTATTTTATTATTACCCGCCACCGTGCATCCATTCTATATGAGAAGGGCCTGGAACCGGAATGGTGGAGAAGAGTCTTCTTCTTCCTATTGCCCTTATTCACTTGGGCTTTATTCTGTTATACAAAAATTTAAACGTATTAGTTGAAATATAAAAACTTAAATAATAATGAAATATAAAAAATTAAATAAACATTAGTAAGAAATATGTAATAATTAAACAAATATTATTAAAAAAATACCACATATCGGGCCCCTAAAAATGAGCGCAGAGCCATGCCCAACTATCCTCCCGCCCCTCAAGCTCCTTCGAGTAACCCTCTTGAAGGGCGACTTGCGGATCATCAAATGCCTGAAAATGGTGGTGCAAGTCGCTCTTCCACTGCTTGTACGTCTCAGCGAAGAATCTGTTGACGTACGCCAACGACTCGTCGTCGAGGTCCTCTAAGTTGTAGTTCGTCTGCAATAAATTAATTAAAAATATATTAAGTAATAGAAATATATAAAGTTTGAAAGAAAAATAATGAAAAGGTAGGACACATGCCGACAACTGACCGCGAACCTCCATCTTGATCTCGTCAGGCATGACCTTCCAAGACTTCCATTGCATCGGGCAATGGGTCCGAATGACGTGGCAAATGTCGTGGACCAAGGAGCTATGCAACTCCGTCGTCGGTGCAGCCCGATGTCGCTCGTCGTATCCGATGCTAATACGACTGTTGGTCACCCGGGTGACCTTCGCCGTCTTTAGCTGCCGACACGGCCCTCAAGTGTTCTTCTTGGCTGCAAAGAAATATGACATTAATGTTAAATAAATAACAAATTTAACTATAAAATTCACAATACAAAAAATTATAAAAAAAACTAGAGTTAAAGGATATCTATACCTAGCTATGACCCTGAGGCAAGGAACTATGCAACTCCACTGTCAGTGCAACCCGATGGCCCTCGTCGTATCCGATGCTGATACGACTATTGGTCACCAGGGTGACCTTCGCCGTCTTCAGCTGTCGACACGGCCCTCGGGTGTTCTTCTTGGCTGCAAAGAAATATGACATTAATGTTAAATAAATAACAAATTTAACTATAAAATTCACAATACAAAAAATTATAAATATGACATTAACCGTTGATCGATGTGGTGTCGGTAGTGCTGGCGGGCCGTTGTTGCCGCCTAGCGGTAATAGGCTGTGCCACTGATGAAGTTGATGATGCAGGCGCCTGAAACCCCCCGGGACCAACTGGCACGTGGTCCATAAGTGCTGGAGCAGTGGCAGCAGATGCCGAGTGAGCCGGGGGCTCCGAACTCAATGTAGTCGTCACCGCCCTACAACGTCTAATCAAGTCTAACATCTGCACAATTTCATTAATACATATACAAATTAATCAAATTTACGAATATATAAGTGTAAGCACATACAATTTCATTGAGAATTTTAACTCATTAATTGAAAGCATAGCTTGACCTAGGATTTGCGATTTCGGAGTATCCGGGACTCCGATCCACAATCCTAAAAATACAAGGTACAGCATACGTGAGTTTGAGTTCGATCGAACGATCCGAACATATCAAACCTGGAAATCGCACAATAGGCGAAATCCGTTCGAGACTCAAACGGTAACCAAATTCAAATCCGAGCACACATACGCGCTCATGAAAAATAGGGGATTGCTCTGGGACTCAATGCCCCACTGCCATAGTCTCCCGTGCGCCACCACACCCGCCGATAGCGCGTGGGTGTCCAAAGCGACAAAAATTTCTGAAAAATTCTAAAAACTAAGGGCCAAGGTTCCTACCCTAGGTTGAACACATCAATTGGAGCCACTGTTGTTCTCGGACCTACCCGGAAAAATGGCCGGAAGTGGCCGAAATTTAAATTCAAAAATCGGCTGAAACTTAGGGTTTAAAATCGACTGCCCTATTGCGACAATTAATGAAACCCTACCCAGTCATCAGCTAAAGCATCACAAATAGTCCAGAAACCACACCTTAGGTGTCGGATTTGGTGGCCGAATGAGAGAGAACGAGTCCGGCGAATATTCGGTGAAAACCGAGCAAATTCCGGTGACAGGCTCGACGGTGACAGCGGGGAAGCTCCGGGGTTTGAACGTTGTGGCGGCCTGGTCTAAATAATGGTGGAGTAGGGGGCTAAGGTGACGGCGGAGAGAGGGAGAGTTAGGGCAAAAAATCAAAAACTGGGGAAGAAGGAGGCGCTCGCGTCATTTCTGAAACTTTATTCGATTTTGCGCGACGAACAATTGAAAGCGTTGCGCAAAATATTTTAAATGAATATTGCGCGATGAAAAGGATTAAATTTCCGTCGCGCAATGTCATGAGTTCACCAAAATTTGGAATTAGGGTTCAGGGTTTGTGCGATTTTGCGCGACGAATTAGGGGTCTTGCGTCGCGCAAGATTGCGATTCCGCCAAAATTTTGGGATTCAGGGTTTAGCGGGAGAGAGAGAAAGTGAAGGGTCTGTGAAATTTTGAGTGATGAACATATACAATCGTTGCACGAAGGTTGTTCTGTACCTTTTGCGTGACGAAATAAGTGCCCATTTCGTCGCGCAAACTTGTGATTCGTTGGACCAAGTGTTCAAGGGGGGGAAGATAGTGAAAGGTCTGAATAATATTGCGCGACGAAGAAGAAATATTTTCGTCACGTAAGCCTTCTGTTCTGTACACTTTGCGCCACAAAGAAGTACCCTTGTTGTCGCGCAAGCCTGTCATTCACCAAAAATTTGGACTAAGTGTTCACGGGGGAGAGAGTGAAAGGTCTAAATGAGATTGCTCGACGAAGAAGAAATAGTTTCGTTGTGCAAGCCTATCATTTGCCAAAAATTTGGCCTAAGTGTTCACGGGGAAAGAGAGCGAAAAGGTCTGAATGAGATTGCGCAACGAAGAATCAGAAATTTCGTCATGCAAGCCTATATTCTGTACACTTTGCGCGACCGAGACACTTTACTCGTCGAGCAAACCCTAAACCCTAAAACCCAAAACACTTTACTCGACCGAGACACTTTAGTTTCAATGATCCAAGCGGCAAACTTGTTTCTTTATACTTTGAGATCGTATATGCCGAAAATCGGAAAAAACAAACATTCAGAGATCAAGTAACGGGACAAAATTTTTTTACGGCTATAAAGGAAAAGTCACGATTTAACGGTTATTTTAACTCCGATTTTGATGATTTTTTACAGCTACATTTCTTGACCCAAGATGAATACAATGACTAAATTTCATCTTCAATTTAAGATATTTACACTAGGGGATACCACATAATCTTATGTTATGTTTAACGAAAGTATAAATAAACTCTTCATTGTTGGTGAATATATTGTTTTGATGTCATACGCATTCTACGAAACTAGTTTCAGTAATCCAGCCGTCAAACTTGTTTGTTTATACTTCGAGATCATAGAACAAAAAAAAAAAAAAAATTGATTGAAAAAAAAAAAAAAAAAAAAAAAAAAAAAAAA